GCACCCAGCGGCGCCGCCAGAGGGGGCCCGGCGCGGATCCGAGAAGGCCGCCGCGGGGAACGCCGACGGCTTCTGTCGAGGCAGCTTTGTCTCCCCTGTTCTTACCCTGTTCTCCCCTTTTGTCTCCCCTTTGTCTGCCCCGTTTCTCCTCTTTTCTCTCTTTTTTTCTCCCTGTTCATGCAGACTCTTTTTTTCTCGCCCCTTCTTCCCGCCCTTTCCTGCCGGACAGTTCGCGATGCCGTCTCCCGGCTTGCCCGAGCGCGCGCGGGCGGGCTGCCTTTGCCGCGCGGCCGGGCTGCCTCTGCCACGTTGTTTTGTTTGTTTGTTTGTTTGTTTGTTTATTTGTTTGTTTGCTTGTTTGTTTGTTTGTTTGTTTGTTTGTGTGTGTGTGTGTGTTTTTGCTGTTTTTTTTTGTTTGTTTTTGTTTTTGTTGTTTATGTTTCCTTGTTCCTCCCTCCTCCTGCTCCTCCTCCTCGATGGGCCCTCCTCGAGGGGCCCTCCTCCTCGACCTCCTCCTCCTTCTTCTCCTCGTTATTTTTTGTCCTTCTTCTTCGACTTCATCCTCCTCCTCGAGGGGCCATCCTCCGCCGCCTCGAGGGGCCCTCCTCGGGGGGCCGACTCCCCCTCTAGAGATGCGCCTCCTCGAGGGATGCTCCCCCTCGAGGGATCCTTTTCCTCGATGGATCCTCCTCCTCCTCCTCCTGCTCCTGTTCCTCCTCCTCGAGGGGCCCTCACGCGAGAGATCCCCCCTTGAGGGATCTTGCTCCTCCTCCTCCTCCTCCGTCCTTCTCCTCGAGGGGACCTCAATCGAGGGATCCTCCGGGCCCTTCCCCCCCTCCCCCCTTGGGGGGGCTGCTGCTGGGGGGCGGGCCCGGCGACGAGCGGCTGCTGCAGGCGGAGCTGTGCGGCCTGGCGGGCAGCTTCGTGGGCGCGAGCGAGGAGTCCGCGGGGGTGGGGGGCCTCTCGAGCCAGTGGTTCGAAGATGGGGTCCTGAGGGATGGGGACCGAAGGATAGAAAGGGATCCAGGGGTGGACTTACGTCGTTCAAGGCATCTCATCCTCAGGACCACATCCTTCAGAACCCCATCTCCGAACCGCCGATCGAGCAGGGGGGCGACGTTTCAAAAGTCACGGTTTTCACTCCTTGTCCCGAGTCTCCCCGAAACGCTAGGCATGTCAGGATTCCGTGCGGGAGCGCTCGGAAGCGCCGAGGTGAGGGGCCAGTCGGTGGGGGGCCTCTCGAGCAGAGGGGGGCGACGTCCGGGGCATCGTCAGGGGGGGATAGGCTCAGGGGGTCTGAGGTCTGAGGGTTTTGGACGCTCTCCTCGGCTCTCGGCGGGTTTCTGGCCTCGGGATGCTTTCCAGCAGCTGCGTCTCGCCGAGAGCTTTCTGAGGCGACCAGATCGTCTCAAATGGCAGCCTGGGGCCAGAGATATGGCTCGAAGACGTCCAGGGGGGGAGGGCGGGGGGAGGGCGACCTCGAACAGAAGGAGGAGGAGGAGGAGGAGGAGGAGGAAGACCAGGATGAGCTGGTGGAGGAGGAGGGGGGAAAGGGTATGGGAATGATGATGATGATGATGCTGATGCTGATGCTGATGCTGATGATGATGATGATGATGATGATGATGATGATGATGATGATGATGATGATGATGACGATGCTGATGATGATGATGGTGATGATGTGATGAGCATGATGATAATGATGATGATGGTGCTGCTGGTGCGGATGATGATGATGATGATGATGATGATGATGATGATGATGATGCTGGTAATGATGCTGCTGCTGATGACGATGATGATGCTGATGCTGATGCTGCTGCTGATGATAATGATGATAATGCTGGTGGTGATGTAGATGGTAATGTTGATGCTGGCGGCGGTGATGGTGATGGTGACAGTACTGATGATTGTGATAGTGATTATGGTTGTGATGGTGATGGCGATGGTGAAAGTGATAGGGATAGTGATGATGATGACGGTGATGCTGGGGATAATAAGGCTGATGTTGTTGATAATGAATATGGTGATGATGATGAGGTTGATGATGATCATGATGATGTTGATGGTGATTCTCGTGATGGTTGTGGTGTTGGTTGTGGTGATCGTCATGATGACGATGATGAGGATGGTGCTGAGGATGTTGCTGCTGCTGCTGATCATGATGATCATGATGATGATTATTGTTATTGTTATCATGGGTATTACTGCTCTTCGGATTATGAGGTGATGACGATGGTGGTTATGGTGTGATGATGTTAATTATTATTATTGAGATTGTTCTTATGATGCAGAATAATGTGTGATTGTGATAACCTTGATGCAGATAATCGTGATGATGCTGATGATGACTATGCTGATGATTATAGTGATGGTGATGCTGCGGCTGCTGAAGATGCAGCTGCTGCTGCTGCTGATGATGATGATGATTATGCGGATGCTAATGATGATGTTTGTGTTGTCGCTGACGAATCTAACAATAATATTATTATTGATGCGGCTGCTGCTGATGATGATGCTGAAGACGAAGGTGTTCCTGCTGATGATGATGCTGCTCATTGTGATGCTGAGGATGCTAGGCTGGTATAGTGTTTGTTGTATTACTCGAATTGTTGATTGTTCGATTGTTCGATCGATTGGTTGACGTATGGGCGAAAATGATGATGGTACTGGTAACGGTTCTGGTGGTGACGGTGATTATGTGGAGGAGGATCAGGGCGATGATGATGTTGCTGTTGATGATGCTGTCGATGTTGTCGATGATGATGATGATGATGATGATGATGATGATGATGATGATGATGATGATGATGATGATGATGATCATGCTTATGATGATGATGACGATGATGATCAGAGTGAGGGGGCCGAACGGTCATTCACTGTCCCTGGGTGCGTGGCTGAAGTGGAATTCCGCGGTGCGGATTCGTGTTGTTATTTGTTGTTGTTTGTTGTTGTTTGTTGTCGTCGTCCCACCCGCAACCCGCCCCGCGACCAACCCGCGACCCAACCCGCGACCCACCCCGCGACCCACCCGCGACCCACCCGCGACCCACCCCGCGACCCACCCCGCGACCCACCCCGCGACCCACCCCGCGACCCACCCCGCGACCCACCCCGCGACCCGCCCGCGGCCCACCCCGCGACCCACCCGCGACCACCCGCGACCCACCCGCGACCCACCCGCGACCCACCCGCGACCCACCCGCGACCCACCCCGCGACCCACCCGCGACCCACCTTCGACCCAAACCACGTTCAAGGTACAAACCACCATTTCCGGCGCCTGCGGCGGGCTTTTTTTGCATTCCTTCCAGGTGGAGAGCCCGCGACCCACCCCGTGACCAATTTGCGACCAACCCGCGACCCAAACCACGCTCAGGGTACAAACCACATTTTTCGGCGCCTGCGGCGGGCATCTTTTGCAGTCGTTTCAAGTGGAGTGCCCGCGGCCCACCCGCGACCACGTTCAGGGTACAAACCAAATTTTTCGGCGCCTGCGGCGGGCATCTTTTGCATTCGCTCCCGGTGGAGAACCCGCGGCCCACCCGCGACCCACACCACGTTCAGTGTACAAACCAAATTTTTTGGCGCCTGCGGCGGGCTGCTTTTGCATTCCTTCCAGGTGGAGGTGGAGAGCCCGCGACCCACCCGCGACCCAAACCACGTTCACTGAACAAGCCAATGCCGAGGGGGAGGAGGGGAGGGAGGAGGGGGAGGAGGGGGAGGAGGAGGACGAGGAGGGGGAGGAGGATGATGATGGACGACAATGGGAGGACGATGATGGAGGCCGATGAGGGGGAGGACAACAATGGGAGGACGATGATGAAAGGATTAGGGGGGGAGAGGGAGGACGAGGAAAAAGAGGAGGAGGAGGACGAGGTGGAGGAGGAGGATGACGATGACGATGAGGACGAGGACGAGGATGGGGACGAGGAGGAGGAGGAGGAGGAGGACGAGGAGGAGGAGAGCGCCATCGACAGTGAAGGTGGGGGCCACGAGGTCCGCCGGCTCGACGACGCCCGCGTCGCCCGCGCCCGCCCCCTCACTCTTATCCGCAATTGCGGGGTGCTACGTACTTCTCCTTATTGTGATTATGCAGGCTATGGCGATGATGGTGATTATGCTGATGCTGCTGTTGATGATGATGCTGATGTTTGTTGTGATGCTGATGCTGTTGTTGTGGATGATGATGGTGATGGTGATGGTGATGGTGATGATGATGCTGGTGATGATGCTTCTGATGATGATGCTGATGATGATGCTGCTGCTGATGATGATGATGATCATGATAATGTGGACGAGGGCTGATTGCATGATTAGGTTCATGATGGGGAGGAGTTGGAGGGAGGCATAGAAGGAGAACGGAAACGCGAAGTTACATCTCGGGCGTTTGGGAACGGAAGCGCCCTTGACAAGTGGTTTGCTGAGGCTCGCGATCCGCGTGCGAGCTCCAGCCGTGCATGCAAGGCGTGAGCCTCATGTCCTGTTTTGCTCGACGGTCGTGGGGCCCAGGTCCCAGTGGTCGAGGGGCCTACGGGGTTCCTGGCTTTCGATGTCGGCTTGTGGCCCCGCGAACAAAATACGCAGCCTCGCCTCGCGACGGCCACCTCGGGTCGTTCGCGCTCCCCTGCCCGCAAGGCAGCACCAAGAGCCCCGCGTGAGGTTCCTTGAGCCCCTCCTGCCAGGGGGAGGCCGTGGGGAGTTCTGGCAGCCCACGCGTTTGCTGGCCGGGCCCAGGCTCGCCACGCAGCGCAAGGGTCCTGAGGAAACCGGGTTCTAAGGTTTCTCTTCTCCGGAAGCTCCCCACGGGCCCCAGGACTGTCGGGCAGCAGCTCAGGACGGGATGTTGGCCCTGGGGGAGGCCCGGGGGCCCCCTCAGAATATGTTTTTGTTCATGGCAGTCGGATTGGTGTGTTTCACGCGCAACCACGGCTCCAGGCTTGGGCGGCCCAAGACGAGTCGAAGAGACGCCGCAGGCAGGCCCAAGGCTCTCCG